GGGGGGGGGGTTGGGTGGCAAGGAGCTGCTGGGGGCCCTGAGGGCCAGGCAGGGGGGTACGGCCAGCCGCTGACAGCCTGCTCTGCCCACCAGCCGTGCCACTGGGCACCGTGGTGGTCCCCGGAGACAGCGACCTGGAGCTCTGCCGCGCCCACATCGAGAGGCTCCAGCAGGTGAGGGGGTCGGGAGCCTGCCCCGTGTGGGCCCACCCGCTCTAGTTTCTGTTCTCTGCCAACTCTCGGCCTTTGCTTCTCTTGGCAGGAGCCCGAAGGTGCTGGAGCCAAGTCCCCCACCTCCCAGAAACTGTCCCCTAAGTGGTGCTTCCTAGATGGTGAGTGGCCCCGAAGGACCAGCTCCTGGTGTCCCCGGGCTGTGTCCTGCCCCCTCCCGCAGGGCTCCCGGTGGGGCAGCGGCTATCTGGGCCTGTATAAGGGCCTCCTGCCGCCTCAGACGGCTCTCTGCCCCCCCTCACAGCCACCACTGCCAGCCGCTTCTACAGGATCGACCGGGCCCAGGTGAGCACCACCCCGGGGCCCCTCTGCCTTTGGCCCGCACCTCCACAGACGGGCTTGCCCCTCGGCCTGCTGGGTGGTGCCGGCACGCCTGCCTGTGCTCGCAGATGGGGGGTAGGCACGCTGCCCACAGGCAGAGGGAGCTGGCGGGTGCCCAGAAAAGTGGCCGGTGAGCCACAGGGGTGAAGGCACTTCTGGCCAGGTGCGGGGTGCCCCGGGCAAAGGCTCAGCAGTGGGAAGGAGCTGGGAAGGCAGCAGGGAGGGAGACTGGCAGGGCCCCCTCACGGAGGTTCCGCCTGCCGGAGGCTTCTCCGGGCCCGCGGGCCTGGCTGCATCTGTACTCCCACCGTCGGCTACCCTGGAAGGTTCCTGACTCCTGGCGCCTGACCGCCCCACCCACAGGAACACCTCAACTATGTGACTGAGATCGCCCAGGACGAGATTTATATCTTGGACCCTGAGCTGCTGGGGGCATCGGCCCGGCCTGACCTCCCAACCCCCACTTCCCCTCTCCCCACCTCCCCCTGCTCACCCACGCTCCGGTGAGTCCTGCGTCTCCTCCAGTCCCCTGGCTCGAAACCTCGCCTACAAGCCGGTACCTCCTGACGTCCTCCCTTCAGCGCCAAACGCGTGTCCACTGTCCAGCTGGCTGCCGGGTCCCCACAGGCCCCTCCCTGGCTGAGTCACTGGCAGAGAACCAGACCTGGCCAAAACCCAACTGACCAGCCCTTTGCCGCCCCCCCCCGCCCCGGGGGCAGTGGTGTCGCCATCCACCCTGCTGCTCTGGCCGGAGACCCGGGCTCCCCCTCTGACCTCTCCTCTGCAGTCCTGTCCGCTGTCCCCCAACATCTGAGCACGGCAGCCTGAGCCGGGGCCTCCGAGCTCCCCTCCGTCCGCACTGCCCAGCGCCGTGCCCTTCCCGGCCCTTCGCGGCCTCCAGTGTGCCCGCCTCAGGACTGTCCCCGGTCCTCCCCGAGCTCCCCGCTCCACTCACACCTCAGCTTGGGAGTTTCCTCCCCAGAGAAGTCTTCCCAGGAGCCCCGGCTGACGTTGCTGTGAGACCCCAGCACGCCGCCCTGTGTTCTTCGTAGCCCTGCCCGCTCTGAGGAGGCCTTCTTTCTTTGCGGACGGGTCTGTCTCCCTGACTAGAATGTAAGCTCCGCGAGAGCAAGCTCTCCATGTGTCTTGTTCACTGCTGTGTCGCCGGCACCCGGCGTGGCACCTGCTGTGTAGGAGGCACTCAGTAAACTGTCGGCAGAACACAGGGCGCCCCCTGGTTGGGGCAGGGGGGTGACAGCTGTCGCTGGGTCCGTCTCATCCTGCTCTGCTTGCAGGTCACTACCAGGGGATGCGGCGCCCCCTAAAGGTGAGGCCTCTCCCTTCTCCCTGGTCCCGGTGGGGGTGGAGCCCCCCACAGCCACAACCCGCCAGGGCCCCCGCCCTGGGCAGGCCCATGCCTCCGCCCAGCATGTCTGCACCCACACAGGGCCGGCGCCTGCGGCCCCAGGGTGTAACGGGCAGGTGTTCCGTGCAGGTGAGGAGCTGATAGAGGCCGCCAAGAGGAACAACTTCTGTAAGGTACTAGGAGGGCTCGGCCCCCCGCCCTGCCGCCCCGAGCTCCCGCGCCCCGGGGGGCAGGGCCTCCGGGTGGGGCCCAGTTAGCCTGTCGTCGTCTGGCCCTCTGCAGGATCTCCGTGCTGATTGTCCCATTCCGCCTTGCCCCTGTCCAGCTCACAGTGTCCCTTCGTAGGGGCTTGCTAGCACAGTGTGCCTGTCCCCGGTGCTCAGAGAGGAGCAAGTCTTAGAGGAACCACAGGCCCCAGGGCCTGGTGCTCAGTGCTCCCGGGGAGCCCAGAAGCCCCGGGTCTCTGCCCTACACTTCAGAAAGACGCCCAGAGGGATGACGTGTGTGAGCACAGTAGGGTCAGGCTTGCAGCCTATGGGAGTTGGGGGACATTTCTGTGGCTGGCACGCGGGTGGCCGTGAGGAGCCCCAGCCCTGCTCTGCCTCCTGCCCTCAGCTCCAGGAGCTGCACCGAGCTGGGGGCGACCTCATGCACCGGGACGAGCAGAGCCGCACGCTCCTGCACCATGCCGTCAGCACGGGCAGCAAGGACGTGGTCCGCTACCTGCTGGACCACGGTGAGCTGGGCCACTGGGGCCCCAGGGCCAGGGCGGGAGGAGGGGAGATGGCCGGCTTCCCTGACCGCCCCCTCCCCTCTCCTCCAGCCCCCCCAGAGATCCTTGACGCTGTGGAGGAGAAGTGAGTATCTGGGCAGGGCGAGACCTTGGTCACCCTGGAAACTGCCCCGTCTTCATCTAGCCCCTCCCACTCGGCCGGTCAGAGCCTAGAAACCCTTCCAGGCCACATCCGCTCGGCCCTTGCCCCACAGCCCCGAGTTCCCTTCTGTGTCTGATAGCCCTCTGGAGACGGGACAAGAGGGCCCCGAGGACAGGATGGGGGTCCACAGCCAGTCCCTGTTTCCACAGTGGGGAGACTTGTCTGCACCAGGCGGCAGCCCTGGGCCAGCGTACCATCTGCCACTACATCGTGGAGGCGGGGGCCTCTCTCATGAAGACAGACCAGCAGGTGAGCAGACTGGCAGGGAGCCCCTTCCCCAGCGCGGGCCCTTGTGAGCGCCGAGCCATGGAGGAGAGCCACCTCTTAGGACTGGAAGCTGTCCTTCAACCCACACCCTCCGGACTCTGAGAAACCTGAGCCTGCGCTGGAGAAGGGGGTGTTGGGGCCGGTGGGCAGCCCACGACTGCCTGTCCTTTGAAGCTTTTCCTTTCCTCACCGGCCACCTGGATGGAAGGTCCCCTGCCCTCTCCTCAGGCCCCTGAAGTGATGGCAGCCCCCCCCTCCTCCAGGGCGACACTCCCCGGCAGCGGGCCGAGAAGGCTCAGGACACGGAGCTCGCCGCCTACCTGGAGAACCGGCAGCACTACCAGATGATCCAGCGGGAGGACCAGGAGACGGCCGTGTAGCAGGAGGGACAGGGCCAGCCAGGGGAGCAGCCCCCTCATCGCCCACCTCACTGCCACATTCCAGTCGGACGACCACGGGGGGACCCGTGCCCCAGGGAAGGAGCCCCGTGCTGCCCCCTGAGGAGCCGCCCAGGCCTGGGGCTGGACTCTGAGGAGCTGGGGGATCCCACCTGTCCCCCTGAGGCCCCAGCCTGACCCGGGCCTGACAGGGGAACAAGAAACTGGACTGGGCCGGGCAGGCCTTTGGGGGACTGGGGCGGGACCACCTCAGGGCCGCCGACACCGTCCCTGCGGCGGGTGCCCTCCCTAGGAGTTAGGGGTAGCGGGGGAGGGCAGCGGGGCTTGGGGCCCTTATCAGGGAGCCTTCGGGAAGAGGCTTCCTAAGCCGCCTGGGCCGCGAGGGCCCGGACTCTGAGCCTGCGGGCAGCTTGGGCCCTCTCTCCTGCCCCGACCCCACCCTCCCCGGGGCTTCCTCCCGGAAACACGGAGCCTGCTGCGTTTGCCTGCCCGCCGCCCTGCTTGGCTCCTGCCCCCCCGGACCCTCCCCGTGTACCCAGTCATTTCACCACCGCCGACCGTGTGGCCTGGGGGTTGGAGTGGGGCTCTCGTGGTGACATGTTTACAGCTGGGTGTGACTCAGTAAAGTGGACTTTTTTCCTTTCTGCTCTTTTTTTCTTGCGGAGGAGGTCTTCCGGAAGCAGCGGGGTCTGGTGGTGGGGAGACTGGACACCCTGGGCCTCTACAGACCCTCTTCTGGGGGATCCTGGTTCCTGTTTGGGGGTGGGGTCTCAGGGCCTGCCTGGGACCTGACCTCGGCCTGGCGGCACGGCTCGCCGGGGCCGGGGGAGGAGCTGATTTCCTCTCGCTTCCCGCTTCCCGCAGGGACGACAACAATGAAAGTGAAAGAGAGGTGGGGCGGGGGGCGAGGCCTGGATTCTTCGGCCCCTTTGCCCTGTGGCCTTGGGCAAGCCCTCTCCCCCAGGCCCCAGTTACTTTTGCTGTTTAGGGGATCGGGTGAGGTGATCCCCGAGGCCCCAGGGTCGGAACGGGTGGGCATTTGCAGCAGCCGCCGCCTTGGCTGGGTCTGGAACTTCTCAGACGGCGCTTGTCAGCTCCCAAGCCTCACCAAATCCAGGCCTGCGGGCTCCTCCCCAACCCCCCAACTTCCTCCAGCTCCCGCCCCCGAAAACCTGCGCTCCTGAAAGGCGCGGCGCCGTCCGCGTCCCCCGAGCCCGAGCGCTTTCTCTGGGGCTCCCCGAGCACCGAGCAGAGTGGCTCCCTGTACACTTGGTGAAACGACCCGCGGTGGGGGCTGGCGCTCCTTCCCCAGCAGCTAAGGGGGCGCAGAGGGCCGGTCCTCGACGGGGTTAAACAGTCATCGGGGGACGGAGCCGCACACAGGCTGGAATGCGGGCCCCGCGCCGAGCGCCGGGACCCGTGACACCCCCGGGGCTCCGAGCTCCCTCCCAAGTCCCCATCCTCCCAGTCTTCCCTCCCCGGGAAGGAAGGCGGGCGTCCTGCGGGGAAAGAGAACGGCCCCGGGGAGGGGGCAGAGGCGGCGGCGGCAAGCTGGGGCTGGGGCAGGGGCCGGGGGAGCCAGGGCAGGACAGGGTCCTGGGGCCGGGAGACCCGGGCTCGGGAGATGGGGCGGGGGGCGCCGGCAGAGCCCGTCGTCTGAACGCGGACGGCCCGGGCGGGGCGAACGGGGGGTGCGGGGACCCGCGGCGGGAAGCCGGGGTAGAAGCGCCCGGGG